TGTCCATCAAATCGAGTTCCTTAAATATGTTCTTCACTTCCACGGTATATTCATATGGGATTTGGTTTAGATTATACCTGACTAGCCCAGTGGGTTTTCCTTCTTTCTTCAGTTTAAGCTTGAGTTTTGCTATAAGAAGCTTATGATCACAGCCACAATCAGCTCCAGGTCTTGTTTTTGCTGACTGTATAGAACTTCTCCATCTTTCGCTGCAGAGAACATAATCAATCTGATTTCAGTATTGCCCACCTGGTGATGTCCATGTGTAGAGTTGCCTCTTGTGTTGTTGGAAAAGTATGTTTGTGATGACCAGCTTGTTCTCTTGACAAAACTCATTAGCCTTTGCCCTGTTTTGTTTTGAACTCTAGGGCCAAACTTGCCTCTTGTTCCTTTTATCTCTTGACTCCCTACTTTAGCATTCCAGTCCCTTATAATGAGAAGAACATATTTCTTTCGTGTGAGTTCTAGAAGGTGTTGTCAGTCGTCGTGAAATTGGTCAGTTTCAGGCTCATCAGCATCGGTGGTTGGTGCATAAACTTGCATTACTGTGATGTTGAAAGGTCTGCCTTGGATTCATGTTGAAATCATTCTATCAGTTTTGAGTTTGTATCCCAATATAGCTTTTCCCACTCTTTTGTTGACAATGACGGCTACTCAATTTCTTCTACAGGATTCTTGCCCACAATAGTAGATATGAGAATCATCTGAATTGAATTTGCCCATTCCCACCCATTTTAGTTCACTGATGCCCAGGATGTCAATGTTTATTCTTGCCATATCCTGTTCGACCACATCCAGCTTACCAAGGTTCATAGATCTTACATTCCAAGTTTCTATGCAGTATTTTTCTTTGCAGCATTGGACTTTCCTTTCACTTCCAGGCACGTCCGCAGCTGAGCGTCCTTTCGGCTTTGGCCCAACCGCTTCATTAGCTCTGGAGCTACTTGTACTTGTCCTCTGCTCTTCTTCAGTAGCATGTTGGATGCCTTCTGACCTGAGGGGCTCATCTTCCAGTGTCATATCTTTTAGCCTTTTGTTTCTGTCCGTGGAGTTTTCTTGGCAAAGATACTGGAGTGGCGTATCAGTTCCTGCTCCAGGTGGATCGCATTTAGTCAGAACTCTCCACTATGACCTGTCCGTCTTGGGTGTCTCTGCACAGCATAGCCCATAGCTACTCTGAGTTACTCAAGCCCCTTCACCACGACAAGGCAGCAATCCGTGAAGGGGCACTCATTTTTACAATTCAAAACAGGCTAAACCTGATTTAAATAGTGTGGGGTGTTTTTTTAAAAATAATGTAACCACTTTCTTAGTCTGCCAGCAAACACAGGGTCAGCCTTAGACTCCTTCTGTACTTTCCATTTTATAATAGCATTTCCTTTTTCAGTAATGCTTAAAATGTAAAATTACTCTGGAAGCATTTGTATGCAAAAAATGATTTCAAGTCTTTTAAAAAGTTAGTACATCAACTAATAAATACATAGCAGTTTGAAAATCAAAGAGTCTAGTTCTGCTTGTTAAAAAGATGGTTTTGACTGAATAATAGACAGCAAAGAGCTTGTTGTTTCCAGAGCAGGATAGGCAGGGATCTACTTATTTATGCCTAAAAGACTGAAAGGCAACTCCACCTCCCTTGCCTTATATTACTGTAATTCTGCTTACGCAGGTTGCGGAGTACTACAATCTATGCAATCGATGGTATTGCATAGATTGTAACAGTAGTAAGGAAAGGATCTAGTGGATTAAGAGGCAAGGAGAAAAAGGCAAGGAGAAAAAGGCAGAGAGTTACATATTAGTGGACTTTCCCAGTATCCTTCAAGAAAGAGAAGATGAAGCAAAAGGCACTCATAGACAAACGGAAGATCATAAAAATGTAACAAGACTACCATGGAGGACAGAGACACTTCAGTGGCGTGACCTCCAAAGTGTGTGCAATGTTTGTCTTCATGCTTGAGAACAACATGGTTTACACATTCAGTAAGTGCAAACTGGTTGCACTGTTGGAAGCAAAAATAAGAGAACTGGAGCAACAAGTGGCCCTGCTTAAAGCTACAACAAAAGATGAAGAATACACAGACAGAACTCCCAAGCAGCAGTGGCTAAGGGAGGTACAGGAGGTGGGAAGACAGCAAGACAGACCAGAGGAGGAAAACAAACATAGTGTAGGAATCACCATGGAAAAGGATCATAGGATCAAAAAAAAGGAGAAGACGCTCTTCACCTGTGGAACTGCAAAATTGCTTTCAGTTTCTTGAACAGGAGTCTGGCAGACAGCATACAGAGGAAGACATACAAGAAACCTGGGAGGGTATTTAAAAACTAAAAACAGTAAGTAAAACTGTAAGTAACCAGTAAGTAAAACAGTAAAAACAACTGCACAGAGTGGCCTGGTAGCCAGATGGGCAGTATAGAAGCCAAATAAATAAATAAATAAAATTTTAAAAAACACAAAACAGAAAGTGCTCTCTAGGAAAGAATTAGTTTTCTAAAAAAAAGCCTATTATATTGAAAACAGTAAATAAAACCAATACAAAAACACATGTAAAAGCAAAAAGGCACAACAATCCATTTAAAAATCTCTGTCAGTAAGGAAGAGCCTGCCTGAAGAGAAAGGTCTTTGACTGCTTCCAGAAGGAAAGCAAGGATAGGGCCAGCCTGGCCTTCTGTGGGAGGGCATTCCAGAGTCTGGGTACAGTGGCAGAGAAGGCCTTCTCCCGTGTCCCCACCAAATACACCACTTAAGGTGGTGGCACTTTGAGACAGGCCTCCTCTTTTTTAACACTCAGGCAGATTCATAAAAGGGATGATTCTAAGCATGCAGCACTCCCACTAGGCAACTGGAAGAACAGGAATTAACCATAAGAAAATTTCATTTTCTTTCCCAGGCATACAAAAGGTCATCCCCATTTTCAGGATATACAAAGGCAATTTAATCCTCAACAGATCTTTTCCACAAATGCCACAGAAAAATGCTTTGTCTAAACAAAGGAACCAAGCTAAAGCACCTCAAATAGGAACTTTCCTTGCAACCTTATACACTGCAATAATCCAATGGCTGAGACATCTAAATATGGTTGCCTTAGAAACCTTTTCCTTTCATGAGTCCTGATGTAAAGGGCATGGAGAGTGGGTGAACTTCTATCAGTCTCAGATCCTGAATGCTAACCAGTTAGAACCTTAGTGCTTATCTAATATGCAGCTTGTGCCAATCCTTCTTCCTATGGTAATGAGATTACAGCCAATCGACAAGATTTCTGTGACCTATGAAACAAAGAACTGGCTTTAGGCATGTTCTTTGATGCGTACTATCATTGCAGAAAACAGACAGGCCTTGGCACACTAGAAAAGCCTCTAACTTTGTCACACGTACATGAAACATGTGGCCACCCTGCCACTCCTTTTAGCCCTACACTCTTCAAGTAGAATCATCACCAGTCTTTCAGGAGGTGATCCACAAACTGCAGGAGGACTCGGTTTAATTTCTACATAGGAGAGTAATGTACTGAGTTTGCCAAGGCCGTCATTATGTTTGGAGCAGTGGTTCCCAACCTCATGCCGCCAGGTGTTATTGGACCCCAACTCCCAGAAATCCTGGCCAGCACAGCTAGTGGTGAAGGCTTCTGAGTGTTTAAGTCCAAGAACACCTGGTTTAGAGTGACTTCCGATATACATAAAAGAAGCCCCACAGGTCTCCCAATGGAGTTTAGCTGGGAGTGGCAGGTTCAAAACGAAAAGCGCTTTGCTCTTCAATGGGCTACCTGATGCTTCTAGAGCCTTATCTTCGCAGTCTATTAACTCTTAGTCTTGAATTTTCATCTAAAGTCCTACCCAGGCATTATAAATACCCATGCCGTGAACAAGCTTAGAAGGGAACGCCTAGCCAGCTCCCTTCATCATTGCATGCTTCATATTTTCAGCACCAGATGTGAAGAAGTTCCTGCTCAAGTGTATTTTTTTACGCATGAGCAAAAATTCTTGAAAAGCTAGGTTCTTGCTCACAGGCAGAGCCTGCAAGTGAGCAGGAACCTTGGCCTCTTCAGATCCAGTGCTGAGACCATGAAGAACATGATAATGGAGATATGAGGGTACTAGATGCTCCCCTCTATGTGTCTTCACAATGTTAGCATTTGTAGCATCAAAACAGGAGTTATTCTAGTCTTAAAATGAAACCAATGCTGTCCTCTGTTCCTAAGCATCAGGGATCATATAACTAGGTCAAGTGAGAAGGAAAGGTACTAAGCAAAAGAACATAGGGCTTTATATATCTAGTTTCTTTCGTAACAGATAAAACTAACCCGAGAAAGCCATGGAACTGCACCTCTTAATAAATCAGATGATCCTATTATTGGAAGGAGAGAAGATTTTTGTCCCATGAGACATTGTTCTCTGCATGCATGGGAAAAATGTCTGATCATACTTATATTGGGTGCACACCCAATATAAAGGTAAACAGAAAAAGCTCAGGACTCTTTTTTTTATCAAAACTAAAAGGCTGCCATTAAAAATAATTGTAATTATATTTTACAGTAATGCTCAGGGAAAAATATTCCTTTAAAATCAGTTTCCTCTAGAATTAGTATCATGTATGTGCATGTTTAATCAATGTTAAATGTAGCACCACTTGCCATTATTTGAAGTAAGATACTAGCCAGAATTCTGCTAGCAACTGACGTGTGTATTAGGTTAAACTGAATGATTTGCTGCAGTATACTGCCACTGTCTAATGATGAGCCAGTCACATTGATAGGTATGAACTTTTTTTGCAGTAAGGAGTATACCACACCAGGCAACTGAGATCTTGGTAGTTGGCAATGATTTACACAAGTTAACATGCATAAACCACTAACAGGACTCTGGCCATTTTTTATAGTGTTGAATCTGATAATTGCATATATTATTACATTGTATCTTAGAAATAAGGACATATTTTATAAATATAATGTACAAAATGTTTGTGCATTCCACAGTACTGGCTGATGAGACTTCCATGAATGACATACCTTGGAGATTCATGCTATAGGATGTGCTCCAGTCACTCCACAGCCCTGGTCCATAAAGTCTCTTGCACCGCACTTGAATTTCATATGAGGAATCGAGAAGTGCACCACTTATGACCAGTGAAGTTTCCATTATAATCTCAACCACCTATTAAATTTTTTTAAAAAAATAATAATGATAAAATGATATCAACAATTTATAACTGCCTTTTGTATAGTACTTTATCTTGAAAGAGCAAAGGCTAAAGCCAGTCATGAGAGAGCAAATGAGAGAGGAATGTTTTATTGTTGAAACAATACAAGCATGCAATGGAGCAGCAATGCATATTCTCATTCCTTACACCTCTTGTGACTCCCACATATGTTGGCAGAGAAGATCTGCAGTGGAAATGTAACTACATTGTGTGCATGACCAGGAAGCCTAATAGCACAGGGTTCTTCATTATACAGTAACTGCATTTATTCAAACCTGGTTACAGTTCTTCTACAGATCTTCTCTCTCAACACTGGGGAGTCATGAGGAGAGTAAGCAGGGTTGATGTCTTTTGTATATCTGAACAGGGCTACTATATAACCATATTTATTTATTTAAAATATTTCTATCCTGCCTTTCTCCCCAAAAAGCAGTTTACATAATTAAATAGCATTTAAAAGCTAAAAACACTAAGTATGCAAATATTCAAAAAAAGAATTAAACAAGTATATTAAAATGGTAACTAAGATCAATACTAAAACACATTTAAAACAACAGAGCACAACAAACCATTTTAAACCCCTCTTGGCCCAAACATCAGGAAGGAAAAGTCTGCCTGAAGACAAAAGTCTTTGCCATAGTATGAAGGTCTGAATAATCAGATATTCATGCAGTGCTTTTCCAGCCTTCCCTTCCAAAACTAGACCACACCCACCACATCATTTCTGAAGAACTGTACTATACAACATGTGATTTCTGCAATGGTGTACAATGCAACATGTGACAATGCAGCTAGGTAGAAACAGGAATCCACTTATGTGCACACATCAATTAACTGCTGCAAGGGGTCTGCTTAGCTCCCAGCCCATTCAAGCTTGCTTAGGACATAGGTTCAAAGTGGCATTCAGAGTGCATTTTGAAAGAGAAAAAAACTTGAATTGGGCCAAATCTGTTGTGGCCACACTAAAGCTAGCTGATTCTGATCTTTATTACAGTCACTAAACAGGAGAGAGAGAGAGAGAGAGAGAGAGAGAATTTTGTTGTAGTCTTACTCTGACAAGAAATCTGATATAACTAAAGCAGTGCTGAAGTTTTGTGTGGCAGCAATGAAGTATCGCTGTTCTCTCCTTGCACCAATTACAGTGGGGTCTCGACTTACGAACGACCCAACTTGCGAACAATTCGAGTTACGAACCTGCCCTCGACATGCGAACTTCCCTCGAGTTACGAACAGGGAAAAAAGTCCCCCCTCCCTCCCCTTAGAGGCTTCTGGAGGGGGGAAAAGGGTCAGAAACTTAAAAATAAATACTGTACTGTTAAATAAAGTTACTTACCAGGCCTTGGTAGCCCCCAAACCACAGGAAAAAGAGCAGGAAAGAGCTAAAAGCCGACACCCAGAAAGAGCCTGGCAGCCATTTTGTGGTTTTTCCCGCTCCTCTCCCCGCCTAACAGCTGATCGGCTGGCTCTGAGCAGGCTTCCCGAGGCTTGCTCATCACCTAAAAAGCCTGCCTGAGTGCCTTTGTGCTGAAAAAATCAGCACAACATGCTTTAAAACATTATTTAAAATTGGCTTCGTTTTTTAAAAAAAAGAGTTCTAAAGTGCGGCCTCAATGACAGATAGTAATGGTGTGTATTGGCTACTATCTCCTCAGTCCTGTGAAACTATGGAGATTCTATGAAATTTAATCATATTGGAATAGGCTGTATGTTTTTAATTGCATTTTCATGTTATACTAATATACTATATATACTATTTAGGAATAGTACATTTAGAATGCCTAAATATGTATTTAAAATATAAATCTCTAAATTTAGGAAAGCTTATTATATATATAATAAGCTTTCCTAAATTTAGGGATTTATATTTTAAATACATAATCAGGCATTCTAAATGTACTATTCCTAAATACACTAGGTTTGTCCAGCACCACTAAATGTTCTTGGAGCTCAACATCCCAGATCTTCTTTTTCATGGCCCATTGCTAAGAGGACACCTGGGGAGAAGCCCAGCTTCAGTAATTCGGTAGATAGATTTCTCTTCCAAGTTGACTGGAAGATGCCTGTTAATATCAAGAGTGCCAAACCAAGCTAAAGCTAGCATTTCCCCCAATCTCATTTTAAGAAAACCACAATTCAGACTTTAGTGGATCCAGCTCATGAGTCCATGGATGTGGAGAGAAGGTCCATCATAATTCATTTGCACTAATACAAAACCATTTCTTTATTTACTTTAATCCCATCAACAGGATCTGAGCTTTAAAAAATTAATTGAAAAATGCCAGCTTTATGAATACCCATTTTAAGGCATCAAGGAGTTGTAGTCTTCGCTGCAAAAAAAAGAAAAAAAAGAAACAAACAAACAAAAGGCCCTTTTCTGAGCTCAGGACATCTACCACATTCATTGGACTATGCCATAGTGTGCAAATTTTCTTGTCTCTCTACAATAATTATATTAAAAGTTTGTATCATTCTATCTATAAACATTCTATCATAAACATTGCATTGTAATGCCATTTTTTCAGATTTTCACATTAATTAATGTTCATGAATATTTAAGGATGTTCCAGAGGGAATTTAAATGCTTCTTAGACCCTTTTAAATTAAATTAAATTAAAAACAATGAAACACCAAGAAAGGCCTCACCTGGAAGATATTTTTAGTTGAATTTGCAAAATATTTCACTTCATACTGAAGTGGATATAATTTTGAGGTTGGGCTAGACCAAGATATCTTTAACTGTCCTATGTCTGTAATTTCTACTTGCAGACAGGATGGAGGCTCAGGTTTTACTGTAAAACATCACAAACAACAATGTAATTTAAGCATATTAATTACTGTCAATAAACATAGCCATTGAAACTTGCATTTTTAGTTTTATGCTGGTCTTATGGAATATTTCTACATGTGCATGTATATAAATATTGTAAACACAAAAGCACATATAGTGTTTTAAAACAGCTTGCATATCTTCAACACCCTATTAGGACTGTCATTAAGTCAAAAGCTATTGGTCTTACAGAATTTATATACCCATATTTTTCGCTCCATAAGACGCACCTTTCCATAAGACGCACCAATTTTATAGGAGAAGAAAACAGGAAAATATAATCTGTTTTCTTCGCTCCATAAGACGCACAGACTTTCCACCCCCCTGTTTTGTGGGAAAAAAGTGCGTCTTATGGTGCAAAAAATACGGTATTTTCTACAAATATTTATATAAACACCTCTATGAAAGCTACAAATAGTATCTTTCTTCCTAATATTAAGCATAACACTTTCTACATATTAATGCTTAAACAAATTGTGATTGTGGAGAAAGTTTATTTTGTTTCCAAAACAAGCAAAATAACAATTAAAAATCTCACATCAACATGTGAAAGCATGAAAGCCTATTAGGACTAGAGTGATTTCTATAAGGTCATTTTTTTTTTCCTGGAACCTATGTTTGAGTTTATGGTGAATTTGAACATGTTTATGAGTAATCTGGTGAGAAAGGCCAGATTATTCAAAAACATGTTTGAACTTGATTCTGGGTTGCAGAGAAAATGTGAATTTTCATAGAAATCCTCCCCTAATTATGAATATCTGCAACAACATAAGAAACATTTAGAAATGTTAGAAATCCTCCCCAAATTATGAATATGTGCAACAACATAAGAAACATTTAGAAATGTTATATACATGATATGAACCACTTTAGGAGACTCATGTTCTCATAATGTTACTGTTTCTCTATGCCCAATATGGCCAGTCAAGGAAGAATGCCAATACACTGAATCTGAGCCTTCAAACACATAAAGGCCAGAATCATGTTGAGAAAGTTATGACTGTACAACAGGGATTATGTGCCATGCTGTTGCCTTTTTGGAGGAACTGAAAGCATCCTAAATCACTATGCCCACAGGTTCCAGGGATCTCCAGGGACCCTTTCCTCCCTTCCTCCTGGGGGAGAGATGCAGAACGGAAAGAACTTATTTAATGCCTCCAAATTGCCACTGCTGGTCCCATTGCTACAATTTTTCAAGTATTAAAGAGTTCCCCCTCCCATTCTGTGGCTCCCAAAGCTTTCTCCAGGGCAAAGGGATCCCTTGGATATCTCCAGAATCTGAGAAGGGAGGAATAGGAAGCTTTTAATTCCCCAGAAATAGTCACAGCTGTTGATATCACAGTTGCACTGTCATAACTTGCACAAAAGGATTCACTGTGTTGAATATGTCTAAGTATCTTTTTGCAGTTTCAGTTATTTCAGGACTACTACATTTCCAAATTTTGCTGCTTTGAACATTTAACCATAATACTCTTCTTCCCCCCTCACATATCCATAAACATAGAACAAGTAAAAATATTTGTGATGCATGCAACTATTGAAAATATTTCGACATAGTAATAAGGTAACACAATTAAATGTTTATCAATATTTATAGCAAACACTTGCAAATAGGAATTCCTCATTTATTTCAGATTGAATAAGTGCCATTAATATATAAGACTGTTATTTTAACTACCTCAGATTGCTCAGGTAGTTAAAATCACACAGTGATTCACACAGTGAATCCTTTTGTGCAAGCTGCTGTAAGTTGAAGTGACTTACAATAAAATTAAACAATATACATTAATAAATACAAGAGATCAAACAATCCAACAATAATCTTAGAAAACTAAAGAGTGAAGAATGTCAGCACAATATTTACATTACATGGAACTCACAGTACAACTGTCTACTCAGAAGTATGTGGCCAATATTTTCTTGTGGAGCTCCACTGATGCATGTGAAAATGACTGACAATGTCAGATTACCATTAATTAAAGCGCTTCTTTTTCAGTTTTGAAATACATGCAACTTTAATTCATTTTGTGTGAGTTGCATACAGGCACAACAAGAAAGAAACCTTTTAATCAGTGGCAATCTGCCATTCCTGGCAATATTACTCCTGTTAATCTGACAGAACTTCTTACAAAAGAATTCTGGTCACAGAGTGCAGTGGGACATACAGTATTTTCCACAAGAGGTACATAGAGTTGCAGCCATGTAGACAGAGGGAATATTCATCTGAAGGGCCAAACTACTGTATATGTTTTATGTGCGACTGCAATTATTTTTCTTTTAAACTGTCACTAATAATCAAGAGGTTGAAAGAAGAGCACCTGAGGAAAGTGGGTTTAACTTTTCCACCCACTGTGAATGAAAAATGACTCGCCCGCAGTACCCCTCAGGTCTAATTAAGAGTAAATAAGGAATCTGACTCATCCCATCACTGGAGAATGAAGTGCCCCACTGCTCATAACACAGGCCATCAGTGTGATCATGCACGTAACCTTGGTCCTTGGGAACAAAATTTCACAAATATGACTTTCTAAAGAAATTTTCTAGAGGAACTCACATTTGGACTGACTTGCAGATACAATTATATATGTACTTACAAAAAAGTAAACCTCATTAGGTTCAGTGAAACTTATCATAAGTGAATATAGGCATGACAACTTAACTGGATTTAGTCAGCAAGCCTATTATGCATGCAGAAGTCTATTTTTCCGGTAATCAAAGCAATTATTTGCACACAAATAAAGCAAGACAATTTTGCAAAGAAAACCAACTGCATTGAGAGATTATGGGCCTTCCAGACATGGCTTCTATTGTGAGAGCAACATGCTTCTTTCATGGTATTTTATAGGGTTCCAGACAATACAATCTTCTATTTGTAGCTGTCTCGTGTTTTCCCACCATTTCTTCCATCTTTTTAATTACTGGAAACTAGGGAAGGGGTGCATCATTGCACACTAAACGTGCAGCTGGAAAAAAAATGAGCAACTGCAGAAAACTACAATTAAAAAGTGACAGCTGTACCTCTCAAAAATGAGGAGGAATATGTTATTATTTATTTATTATTTTGAATTCCATACCACTCATCAGTGCAAACATTATCTGGGCGCTTCACAATCCATCAAAACATAATTACAATCATACAATCAAGTAGGAAAATGCAACAATTACAATGAAAACTCTGTCTCTAACCAAATCAATAAAGCCTGCATTTAAATATAAAACAAATTTGAACATCCAAGATCAATTAGTAAGATTGATAATAAAAGGTAACTTTATACAGTTAACTTTTAATTAACTTCCAGAAAATTGAGAGGGGTGGTGCCTAATGAACCTCTGTAGGAAGCTTATTCCAGGAGGAAGAAGCCACCCAAGAAAGCATTGTTCAGTAAAAAATTGCAAGTCTGGATTCCAGTCAGCCAGTGGGGGCATATTATTATGGAGGCACAGATGAAGTTTTCTGTTTCCACATAAAGCAAAAAGCTACATCTTTGCTTTTCAGCAAAACACCTGCAGTTATGAGTCACTTGGTGCCAAGACTCTGGGGTCAAGAAACAAGAATACAGATGAGGACTGTAGTGATGTTCTTGAGATCTGCAGGGAGGGTACAGAATAGTTTGGTAATGCTGATGAAGAGATCATCAATGCTGAATCTTTCTTTGAAGAAGTTGCTTTGATATCCACTCACTTCAGCACAGTCTGCATATCCTGATGTTGTTGCTAGCTATGTCTCTGCTCTCTTCATAATTAGTATTACTCATTCCAGTTGCCGAGCTTTATTCCTGTCCATTTAAGTACTCTGATATAGATCCTCTATTCACTCACCCCTCCTGCCAAGGTAAGGTTTCTCTGAAATACCACTTAGTTTAGACCTAATTTCCATTGTCCTCCTTGGCCTCTCCAGAACAGTGATGGTATCCACTTGAAAAAGCTACTGGCATCTGACAATGTCTGCCAGAAAAGCCATAGCTTTCAGTTTTTCCTTCTGTCAACAAGGTAAATAAAAATCTCTTGCTGCTGTCCACTGATGATCATTCAAAGTGCTTAATGGCAATCAAGAACAATGAATTGTATTCAGGAGGCAGAAAAAATACAGTGGCTAAAATCCTTTTGCTTAGTATAGCCAGCTACACTAGAGTAGCCCCACTGAGTCACTGAAGTTTGCCAACTCATCCACAAATCCCATTGATTTAAGTGAGGCTATTCCAGTTGCAACTTACTTTAGCACAGTAAGGAAATCAATGGAACTTATGGAAGACTTAACTCAGCAGTTCCCCTTCAATGGGCCTACTCTATTGCAATTTACTCTGCTAAGCAATAAGAGTTCAGCCGGTTTGAAATATCTCAGAGCTGGCAGGCAGCAAAAGAAACACCGTTTATTTGTTACAGCCAGTTCCCTCCATCCTTGTGTGAAGGAGAAAACTGAACCTAAATTCTGAAGAGCATGGCCCTAACTCTATCACACATCTTCTATGCCATATTGGACTTCTATATGGAGCACAAGCTCTTGATGAATGCAATGTTTGTAAAGCATCTCACATGTATTTGTCAAACAAGTACGGTAATCTTATGTTCTCCCCAGTGACAACTGGTGCTCCATCAGTCAAAATGGAAAAAGTGCTGTGCAACAACAGTGTCTACAGTGATCCTTCAGCCCTTCTCAGCTACAGACATAAGACCTTGTAACCTACAGAACATCAGCTCTTACTTTATGCGCCCAAGAAATATTGCTTTTCTACTTCAGATTTTATACCTGTTTGGCCAATGTATACATTTTGTCTATTCAAGTTCTGTCCACCAGTTCCCAGAGTACAGTAATAGGGCTAGTTTCTACAGATGCTCCTGCTCATTCTCCACTGGAGGAAATCCTGTTAACTATTTGGACTTACAATGAAAATCACGTGAAGCCCTGACTGGCAGCTTTAGTCAACTGAAAAAGAAGGCTTGGTAAAATGACTTACAATAACA